GTCATTCAACGCTACACCCAAATGAAGTTTACGCCCTTTTTCCCCCCACAAATTGAACCTTCTTTTGGTGGTATTTGATCGTCTGTGCGGTTTTTATTTTTTGCGCTATAACAAAAAAAAAAAGACCGACAATTTTGCGAAAAAAAAATATATTTTGGACTTTTTGCTATATAACATTTCCAGTAAAAAAATTTAAAAATCAAATTTCATCATAAATTTAGGCCAAAATGTATTCCGCGACATATCTTTGCTAAAAAAAAATCCCAATATGTGTAAATTAATTGGTTTACGTGAAAGTTATAGCATTTAAAAATGAAAGTATAGATGCTGGAATTTTTTTTTTATACTAATAATGGCGGCGAGCAGTGACTTATAGTAAGACTGGGGCGGGCATTCTGACACTGGGGGGAACTGACTTGCTGTCACTGATAGTGACACCAATACAGTGATCAGTGCTAAAAAAAAAGCACTGACACTGTACTAATGGCACTGGGGAGGAAGGGGTTAATGTTTGGGGGCAATCAAAGGGTTAACTGTGTGTAGGGAGTGTTTTACTAGGGGGTGTGTGCTTCACTGTAAAGCAGTGTGTGCCGAAGCTGAAAGGGAGGAGGGCTGTTGGTAAAAAAATAATCACCTGCTGGGACCCAGTGATTCACACCCCACGGCAAGGGTAACACTGGTGAACAAATACACATACGGTTATTTATTATTAAATTGGACAGGATTTTAAACATGGTATATTGAGCATACTACACTATATTATATTTCTTTTATTGGAGATCACTGTATAGGTAGATTGGATTCACTCAAAGAAGTTGATGGATGTAGGACGTCTGATCTTTGGTTATACAGAGTCAATATTGAACTTATTATTTTCAGAGCGCTGGTCACTTCTATCATTGCCATTTCTTTCCATGAGGGAAACAGATTGACTCCAGTTGCTAAGGGAAGGATCATTGCTTGAAATATTTTGTTTGTATAAAGGAAAAAACAGGGGGGTTCCAGCATGCGGTTTAAAAATATTTAATCTTTGCTGCCTGTTGGATGGGTAAGTAATATGAACATTAAAAATCGCAAAATCAATCCTTAAATGAAGCTCTGGAAGTAGCCAAAAGTGGCATAAGTTGAAAAGCTTCTGTGATAAATTCTGATGCTAGACACCAAAAGCTCACAAGAGATATCGAAAGATTACAGGAAGAGGTTGATCAGTTGGTACAAAAGCTGAGGAATGCAGAAAGTGCAATGAAGTGATTATCTGTCAGCTGTCAGGAGCAGCATGCTAATTTTCCAGATAGACTAGATAACAAAGCAAATGATTTGGGTTTTTCTGAATTCAGTGGGAAATCAGGCAAATCCCTGGAAGGTAGGAGCACTTGTAAAACTGCCCCTCCATCTTGTAAGCAGCCAGAAAAAGTTGCTAATCAAGTGTCAGTCACTGAATACTCTCAGTCACAAACAAAGCATTTTGTTAAGAGACACTATACCACATTAGAAGAGATAAAATGTTACCCATTTATTTATTTGGCCACATTGCAAACTTTTGTTTATCCTCTGCTGTTTTTGAATGTAGTCAAACAAAATCCATATAGAACAATGAAACGTGATATTCAGGTGCACTCCCCAAGGTGAGGATCATGGCCGAGGTCTAATAAGCATGAACAGCCTAGATTAAGGGAATAAGTTTATTCAAAGTTCAATAACACTGTCTTTTGCCATTACTGGAAATTTTGCTGACTCACAGGCAGAGAGACATGCCTGTGTTATAGGGATGCGAGGTTCTGCGCCTGTCACTGCTGCTGGAGCTTAGCCATCTTCAGTCCATGCCAGTGATCAGCCTCTCTGTGCGCAGCCTCCCTCTCAGCCTGGTATTCTTCTCTCAGCTGAAGCCTGCATTAAAGAAACTGTAGGTACGCCAGAGGATCCTTAATGCATTGTAGTGCTTCCTGCATTTGAGGAGAGTCTATGCTGGTAACAGGCACGCTGGTGCTGGCCTGCTCATGCTGTGGCTTGGAGGTGACATTCCAATGTCATTCTCTGTTTGCACATCTTGCAAGGCCATTTCTGAACAACTTTGCTCTGAAGCAGCAGGAAACCAGGTTTCCCGGGGTTATGCAGGACATGAATCAAGTTTTCTCGCGTATGGCGAGAGATGTGAATTCCTGTGCGGTCATGCAACGCTATACTCAAACAAAAAATGTGCCCCTTTTTTTCACACAAATAGAGCTTTCTTTTGGTTGTATTTGATCACCAATGGGATTTTTATTTTTTGTGATATAAACGAAAAAAACGACAGAACATTTTGAACAAAAAAACACATTTTCTCATTTCTGTTATAAAAATTAAAATAAACTCAAATTTCATCAAAAAGTTAGGCCAAAATGTATTCTATTACGTCTTTGGTAAAGAAAATCCCAATAAGTGTATATTATTTGGTTTGTGAGACAGTTATAGCATTTACAAACTATGGTAGATACTGACTGCCTATCACATTTCTTGCGGTGCTAAAAATGCCAGTGCAGTACAAATACCCCCCAAATGACCCCTTTTCGGAAAGTACACACCCTAAGCTATTTGCTGAGAGGCATGTTGAGTCAATGGAATTTTTTTTAATTTTTAGAAAATGCCAAAAACTTTTTTTTTGTTATAAACAAAGTTGTCATTTAAATGATATATTGCTCACACATGCCATTGGGTAAATGTAGAATTACACCCCAAAATATATTCTGCTACTTCTCCCGAGTATGGGGATAGCACATGTGCGAGACTCTTTGGGAGCCTAGCTGCATACAGGAGCCTGAAATCCAATTACACTTTTGAAAGCCTGAAGGTGCATAATTTACTCATTACACTTCCTTACTATCACAGTTTCAAAGGCTCTGAAATGCCAGGATAGCACAAACCCCTCCCCCAAATGACCCCTTTTTGGAAAGTAAACACCCCAAGGAGTTTAGTAAGAGCCATGGTGAGTATTTTGCAGATCTAATTTCTTGTCACAAAGGTTTTGAAAAAGGAAAAAGAAAAGAAAAAATACATTTTCGTTTTCTTCATTTTGCAAAAACGTTTTTTTTTTTTGGTAGAAATTTACTTTGAACCCCCAAACATTATATATTTTTTTAAAAGCAGAGGCCACAGATAATACAATGGTGGGTGTTGCAATTGTTTATGTCACATAGTACTTGCACACAGCGATTTTTCAAATGCATATCTTTTGAAAAATAAAACACGTTTTTAAATTTTAATGCACAAAAAACACAATATATTGGCCATTTGTTTGGTAAAATATAAAAGATAATGTTATGCTGAGTAAATAGATATCAAATATGACACGCTTTAAAACTGAACACGCCCCATGGAACGGCGACAAGCTACATAGATATTTTAAATAACCATAGGTGTTGCTTTAAAAGCTTTCACAAGCTACCACTTTAGATTTATACAGGAGGTCTAGTGCTAGAATTACTGCCCTAAATCTGATGTTTGTGATGATACCTCACATGCATAGTGCAGCCGCTGTTTACATATCAAGACAGGCCCGATGCTTGTGTACGCCGTTGCGCATGAGCATGGGGGGACAAGGATGCTTTAATTTTTTTTTTTTTTATTTTTATTTTTTTTTTCTTTACACTGTCCATTTCATGGTTTTTTTTTTTGATCACTTTTATTGTTATCACAGGAAATTTAAATATCCCCTGTGATAATAGGCAGTGACAGGTATTTTCTGAAAATTAGCCACTAGGATTGGTTTTACATGAAACCCAACTGAAAAAAAATGATACCAGGATGATGCCTGTAGCTGCAGGCATCTAACTGGTATAACCACTCAAAGTCCAGGGGTGTACCAGTACAGCCCTGTTCCTTGTTGGGTATATACACTATATTGCCAAAAGTATTCGGACCCCTGCATTTACAGTCACTTGAACTTGTTTCTCTATTCTGGGGGTGGGGGGTCCTTGCAACTGGGTATGTATACCAGGTCTCTGTTGCAATGTTTTTACTGTGCTTGTGCTTCATGAATAAATATGTCATTGAGGTTAGCCTTCTAGGTGTGCAGCCTATTTTCTTCTCTGTTGGTTTTTGCAGTATGTTTTAGGTAGCACCCTTCCAGAATACTCTGGTGGCACCTCATTACTCTTTTCTGTATTTTTGTGGACTCCCCAGCTTTCCCCATATTTCCCCTTTCCCCCTTTTTATCATCAACCTGGTATAACCACTCAAAGTCCAGGGGTTGTACACTGGTTGTTGATGTATAACCACTCAAAGTCCAGGTTGTTGATGTACTGACATCGCTGTTCTTTGTTGGGCATATACACTATATTGCCAAAAGTATTGGAACGCCTGATTTTACACACACTTGAACTGTAATGGCATCTCAGTCTTAGTCCGTAGGGTTCTATACTGAGTTGCCCCACCCTCAACTCTTCTGGGAAGGCTGTCCACAAGGTTTAGGAGTGTGTCTATGGGAATGTTTGACCATTCTTCTAGAAGCACATTTGTGAGGTCAGGCACTGATGTCAGGCAAGAAAACATGTCTCGCAGTCTCTGCCTAATTCAGCCCAAAGGTGTTCTATCAGGTTGAGATCAGGACTACTCAAGTTGCTCCACCCCAGACTCTCTCATCCATGTCTTTATGGACCTTGCTTTGTGCACTGGTGTGCAGTCATGTTGGAACATGTTGGCCATCTGCAAACTGTTCCCACAAAGTTGGGAGCATGAAATTGTCCAACATGGCTTGGTATTTTGATGCCTTAAGAGTTCTATTCACTGGAACTAGGGGGCCAAGTCCAGCCCCTGAAAAACAACCCCACACCATAATCCCCCATTCACCAAATTTTACACTTGGCACCAAGCAGTCAGGCAAGTACCTTTCTCCTGGTAACCGCCAAACCCAGAAACATCCATCGGATTGCCAGAGAAGCATGATTAGTTACTCCAGAGAACACGTCTCCACTGCACTAGAGTTCAGTGGTCCGATGCTTTGCATTGCACTTGGTAATGTATGGCTTAGCTAAAGCTGCTTGGCCCTGGAAACCTATTCCATGAAGCTCTCTATGCACTGTTGTGCTAATATGAAGGCCATATGAAGTTTGGAGGTCTTTGCAGACAGTTGCAACTTTTGCACACCGAGCTCTTTAGCATTCGCCTGCCCCCTCGCTGTCATTTTATGTGGCCTACCAGTTCAAGGCTGAGTTGCTGTTGTTCCCAGCTGCTTCTACTTTGTTATAATACCACTAACAGTTGACCGTGGAATATTTAGCAGCTAGGACTTATTGCACAGGTAGCAACCATGCTTGAATTCACTGAGCTCCTGAGAGGGACCCATTCTTTCACAAATGTTTGTAGAAGCAGTCTGAATGCCTAAGTGCTTGATTTTATACACCTGTGGCCATGGAGGTGATTGGAACACCTGAATTGATTTGGAGGGGTATCCCAATACTTTTGGCAATTTAGTGTATGTTGGGTTTTTTTTATGTAGGCTGTGTGCTGGATGAAGAAATATCTGCCAGAAAAAGTATGTGGTATTAGAATATACTGCCCTGCATCCAACCACTTCAAATGTTGGGCATACATGATATGTTCTTTTCGTTCAGCTCCTGGGCTGAATGGACAAAAAAAAAAGAACCTAACAGCTTCTTTCATTCACACCGATCAATATGGATGAAGACATTTCTGCCCCAAACATTTTTAAAAAATATATTGCAAAGCATAGGAGCGATCCACCCACTGCCCACCCAGGCTCCTATGCTTGGGCATATATGTTCTTTTTTTTAACTGCGGATGATAATTGTCATCCAGCAGCGCTGTACACATTGGTGTATCTTCACACACCCGGTTGCTGTCAGAATAAACAGATCGGTGCTGCTGCAGCTGAATGCCGTTCCTGCAAAGAAAAGAACAATGGTTAACAATAACACACAGTAACAACAAAACATTTACTCAATAAAGGGACAACCTTTTTTGAGTTTTTATTTTATTTCTTTTACTTTTTTTAGGGTCTCTCAAAATGTGATAGCCAATTTCCTGACTACCTAACATCTTTCGAGACCCTGTGCCGTGCTGTACCCTATATTAATACTCCACTAGTGTGTGGTAGTTACAGAACAGTTCTTGAGGCAGAAAACCAGGTTGGCCAGGACAGGAGGGACAAAAAAAGTGGGTGTCACATTTAATTCTATGTCTGCTAGAGACACTTTTTTTATGGGGTGACTTTTGGGTTGGGGTACCAGAAATGGCACCAGGAAAATGCTTATCATGCAGACGGTTCACTGCATCTGGTTGGGGGTTTGGTCCACAGCACCTTTTCGATACAAAAAGGCTGTGATAATCTCTTCCTGAAATTTTAAAAAGGATCCACTTCGTCCAGTTGCTTTGTAAAGCACAAAAAAAAGCGTTGTACAGAGCCAATTGAAATGAATATACAGACACTTTTTTGTACCAGCTTCTGGCTTTATGGGAAAACTAAGTACGTCTTCATCATCTGGTCGTTTGAAGTACCACTTCTCCCATGTTAAATTTATTCGTCGTGGACACAGAGGGGCTTCTCAACAATACCAGCTGCTGTGGTAATTTGAATGGTCTTATCTGCATGAATGGAAGACAGGACGAAACATCCCATTTGTACTTCCACTTCACTGAGAGCAATTCATCATCATTCATCAAGCAGGCTTTCTCCTCCTAAGACAGGTATTTACAAGCTGTTGGGGAAGCCCTGGCGATTCGGTCACATGGTGCCACATGCGTCAATTCCAAGATTGTACAAATGTCTAAATTGTGGCACACTTGTATGAAAAATGTCCACTTATAAGTGGTACCTGATATGGAAAAAGGATGACACCAAGACCCAAACTATCCTGTCACTGCTCCCCGTGTAGTCTGGGCACCCAGGGGCTCCATCTTTTCCCTCGTAAATCCGAAAATTACATGTATAGCCTGTTTCCCTCATACCGCCTATACATTTTGACCTCATATTTGGCACGCTTGCTGGGGAGAAACAGTTTGAATGCAAGGAGGTCCAGAAAAATTCATGAGGGACTCAATGCAGATGTTTTGATGAGGTGTATACACATGTGCAAATTTCCGGTTAAGGTGATTTTTTTTTTTTTTTTTTTTAAATAAATATTTCATTGATTTTCATTTAAATTACATTGTCACAACCCATAAAAAGAATTATACCATTGTTCAGCTACATACAAAAACATAAATAAATTAAAAAAAAAAAAAAACACGAACCTTATCCTTTATACCTTTTAAACAAGTCCCTCCCAAATCCCTCCCCCCCCCCCCCCCCCCACACCCGCTCTGGTCCCAGTCTCTCCCCGTATTCTCTCTTCCCTAACTCATTGTTCCTCTTTATTTCTTATTTACTCTCGATCCTCCCTACTCCTACTTCCTAATCCATCTAATCTCTCTTTAATTTCTCAGCCTTCTTCTTCTCCATCTCCTCCCGTTGTCTGATTTTCTATAGATATCCCATTTTTTCCACCTATCCTGAAATCTCTCCATTTTATCCTCCTCCAAATGTCGGAGTTCTTCCATCCTATAAATGTAATCCATCCTACTCATCCAATCCTTTATCTTTGGTACCTCTTGTTTCTGCCAAAATTTAGGAATCAGTCCTTTTGCAGCGTTTATAAGATGGAATACTATCGAGTTTTTGTATTTCTCTACTTTGTTCTGTTTTGTGGAATAAACAAATCCCTGGGTCTTTTGATATACTCTTCCCAGTAATCCCCTGTATTTGGTATATTATCTCTTCCCAATATTTCTGTATTTTAGGACATTCCCACCAAATATGTGCCATAGTACCCTCTTTCTCACATCCCCCTCCAACACTTAGGTGACTTATTCTACTTGTTGTTTGTGTGCCTAACATACCACCTTACTAAACATTTATAGTTTCACTTCCACTACTTTCATGTCTACAGCCCCCTGTGCCAATCTTATATATATTTTCTTTCTCTCCTGCTCATTCCAGTGCTATTTACCCAATTCCCCCCCTCCGAAATCGCGGCCTACTACAAACCGGCGAAGCCGCGGCCTCGATTCATTTGTGGGGCCGACTTGCGACAGCCCAATTACACCGCCGCTGAATCGCCGCCGAATCAGCGGCGCCGCTGCTCCGTCCCTCAGCTCCTTGCCTCTCTGACACATAGCGGGTGATCCTCCCCAGGCGGCCCCTGACCCTCTCCACCGTCTCCAGGCCACAGCAAGCCCTGACGCAAGGCGGACAACAACACCCAAATATTTCCAAAGATCAGCCTAGCAAGGACCACCAAGCTGACAGCAGCCCAGGGACCACCCCAGGATACCTGCAAGTCGGCAGCACCACCAGAACGGGTAAAGCTGCCACCACCGATCCCTACACCGACTGCCAGCTATCGCCAGGGCCCCTCCCCTCATAGCCTGTGTCCATCCTGACCACCAGGCAATACCAGCTCAGGCCCACTGATCGCTGCTTGAAATTATCCGCTGCCAGCCCATACATGGCTATATTCTGGGCCACTACCTCTGGGACAGACCCTGCACCAGCTACCGGATCAACCCAGCTACCACCCTGGAAACTCAGCACCCAGCTACCGGGCATTCTGCTTGACATTTCCCTGGACACCCAGCACCCAGCTACAGGGCAACCCAGCTACCGGGCATACCCCAGCTACCACCCCTGGACACCCAGCCATTCTCAGCTACCATTCCGGGCACCGGCTACCCACCTCTGGACTACCCAACACCCGACCACCCAGCGAATCGAGACGTTCGCACAGCGAATCTCCGGACCCGGATCCTCCCAGCGCATTTTTCTTTTAGTCCACCGAAGCCGCCAGCATCACCAGAAACGCGGTTGTGCCTACAAAAACAAAAAACAGACATCGCACCCTAAACCATTCCACTCGCCCGATCCACGGATTACCCACTTGACGACCCTCGGTACGCCAGCAAACTGCACCCAACAAGATTGCAGCCTGCCATCTGCTGCCCTTTACTCCCACTCTCCCCCTACAGAAGGACTCTAGTGGACTCCTCCCACGGTGATACAGAACTCTTCACATTCACCTCGCCTGACTCCGTATCCCTTCACCTCCCCTTGACCCGAACCCTAGACACATGCACTCTCCCCCTTCCAGCATGCCACATGCACTTCAGCCTATGCTTGTTTTCCTCTCCTCCATCCCAAAAATCGCCTCCCTCTACCCGCCCACCCTCCAAAAAACAGCTCTACATTGCCCTTCTACTTCTGCCCTCTCCCCACTACGGCACTCACCACCTCCTCATGGTACTCCACTCCCCGTAGTCAGATTTTGAACCCACGTGGCCACCACTACCAGACCCACACGCTCCTGCACCTCCCATTCCATGCCACCCTCCTCACCCTTCTCTTCTCCTATCCGCTGGGGACATCTCCCCGAACCCTGGCCCACTCACCCACCTCAACCCCCCTCCAGGAACCCCCCCTCCAGGGACCCCCTGCTCCCGCCAGCCGTCGCAACCCCCTCAACCTTATACCTTGTGCACCTCCTCCCCGCATCATGACCCCCCTCTCGCGGTTGCACTTTCTGAAACCGCCCGATTCGGTCTGCAACAACCACACTAACTGCCATCCATGACCTCTTTATCTTCCCGCTCCCTCAACCTCCTAGCCATCACCGAAACCTGGGTACAGGCCACTGACTTCCACCTCCCCTGCGGGCATTCTCCCATGGAGGTCTCGTCATGGTCCCATTCACCAAGACTGAGCGGTCACAAAGGTGGAAAGTGTCGGCCTGCTCCTCTATCACGCTGCTTAGCACCTTCCAGGTCCTCCCTAACCTTCTCTCCTCCTTCGAGGCTCACTGCAATCCGGCTCTTCTCACCCACCCCCCTAAGGATCGCAGTGATCTACAGGCCCCCCGGATCCATAGCCCGCTCTTCTGGATGAACTTCGCCGCCTGGCTTCCCTTCTTCCTCTCCTCTGACAAGCTACAGACCATCATCCTCGGGGGTCTTCAACATCCCCCATCAACGACAACACCCCAGCTACCTCCCAAACTCCTTCCACCTAACCTCATCCTTCGCGCTCACATCAATACACTCAATTCCTCCACCCACATCAATGGGAACACACTGAGACCTCGTCTTCTCCCACCTCTTACCCTTAAAAAACCACTTCACTAAAACCCCCTTCCTCTCTACTCCGACCTCACAACCTCCTCACGTTCTCCATCTCCCTTCCCCTAACTCTCCCCCCCAGTGCGGCCAAACCATCACCTGCCGCAACCTCCGCAAACCTGCACCTGCCCCCCCCTCCACTCGGCTTGCCGACCACTTACACTGACAGCATCCCTTCCACATTGTCATGTCCTGACCTAGCCACACCGCGTT